AGGAGTTCATGACTGGTGCAAACAATATACACACTTGGCTGCTAATGCAAAGGTTAGAGGTTCAAGTCCACCCAAAGGAACTCAAACTAAAAACCCGGTGATCCAATTTCTGAACAATTAGCCTGTGAAAATAAAAAAAATTTTAAAAATCACATTTTTACTCTGATACACACGGGGTCAACATGGAGCCAAGTTAGCAGCAACTTGTTTGGCATTTTACTGATTAATATATAAAAGCCAGGTGAGGCAGAAAATCACCCAAAAATGATCTCAATGATTTAAAATGCACCTACGTTGTGATAGCTCCATCTGCTTTTGTGCGGTTACTCTGTTTTCTACAGGCTTAATTTTGTGAATTTGCAGAAAGACTATGGCCCACCAGAAAATAACCATCTTCTATTTCAGTCTATATTTACACCTAAAAGCTCTTGACAGTGTTTTCCTTAACCCGCTCAAGTGCAATCCAAACTAGTCTGTTCTCACATCACCTTCGGTTTCTGTTATTAAACTACCAGGAAGCAACACTGTTAGCACACCACCATAATCCCCACTTCCCTCTACAATCCAGGAGCATCTCCACCCGAAGGTTCAAGTCTGTTGATGGCCAAATCCTCCAGCCGTGGAAAGCATGCCCCACCTGTAACTTTTCCATGAGCGCATGCTCTCTCCTCCTCCATCTTTGCCCTGCCTCCCAAGCACACTCTACTCACCCACTCACTCATTGCTGGGGAATCAGAATCTACAGCTGATCTTCCAGAGAGTGAGCGGGTTTCCTGAGGTTATAAAAGGCCCAAGCGGACTGTGGACTCGGGGGGGGGTGGGGAGGAGGGAAATTGTATAAAAATTAAAGAATTTTTTTTTCTTCAAGAGAAAAACGAATGGGGAGAGGGGTGGGCAGGGAGGAAAATGTGCAACAATGAATGAATGGGAAAATATTAATAGACTATACCATAAAAAAATATATGTTGTATTTAAAAAATAAATAATAAATTAAAAAATAAAAATATATGTTGTATTTAAAAAATCATTAATTTAAAAAATTTATTTAAAAAAAAAAAAAAGCCCCAAGGCCCAGGAGAATACTGTTCATCTTCCTCCCAGGAAGCCACTGGTCTATTTGAATCACTAAAGAGGAACAGCCTTTGGGCTAGCAGCATTATTTCTTTTTCTTTATTTTTTTTATTAATTTTAATGAAAGTTTACAGAGACTTAGGGTTTCCATTCATTAATTGTTGTACTTTTCTTCCTGCCCACCCCCTTCCAATTCACTCTTCTTCTTGAAAAGTAAAAGAAAAGATTGGGAAAAAAGGAAAGAAAAGATTGTTATACAATCCCTCCCCCAAAGTCCACTCCACTATGTAGCCTTCATTCTGGACTCCTGTCATGACAATAATACCCACAACAAACATCCCTTTTAAACAGTTCTCTCCCTCATCTGTTTCAGTGCAGTATACATCATTCATCCCCTCCTTCTCTGCCTTCCCTCAACCCTGAAGTCATCCCATTTTATAACAGTGGCACTATGCAGTATTAGTTCCTTTGTAACTGAGATATTTCACTCAGCATAAATGTCCTCCAGGGTCACCCATTTTTGGATAATATTTCATGAGTTCCTTGTTTTGTGTGAATATACCAGAGTATCTCTATCCATTCATTTGTTGATAGGACAGCATTACTTCTTATGGAAGATGCCACTATTGTGGTTGTGGATGGTTTCGTCTGAACTGACCCCTAGCTGACTCAGAGGCAACTAACTGTACTAGAAGAGACGGCCCATCTTTCTCCCACAGGGTAGCTGGTGGATTCAAACCATACACCTTTGAGCTGCCAGAGCAATTCCTTACCACTAGGCCACCAGAGCTCCTTGGCATTCCCTAGTGGACTAGTGGTTAGGATTCAGCACTCTTACCACTGTGATCAGGGTTCAATTCCCAGTCAGGGAAATCATGCTACTAGAGCTTCCTAAATATCCTTGGTGGTGGTTCTTGTTAGATGCAACTGAGTTGACAATTCATAGTGACCCTGTAAACGACAGATGTGAACCTTGCCCTCTCCTGTGCCATCCTCACAATTTCTGATATGCTTGAGCCCATAATCTGAAAACCATCTAGGAGCTAACTCCACGTCTGTTCAGCGGCCACTGACTAACCCACTAGAGGTACAAAAGATGTGTGTGGCTAGATGAGTTAGCACAGAAAGGAGCGAGGGGGGAAACGCTGAGGGCTATTTCACTCCTCGCCCCCCATCATCTTCCCTTCTCCCTACTTCTCTCTCCTTCTTCCTCTCCCTCATCTGTTTCTCTTCCCCTTCCTTCTCTCGATCCTCCTCCTCCCAACAAGCTACTCCAGTCTCTGCACTTGGAAAGACTCCCCAGACACATTGGGTGGAAAAGCATTCGTGTACCCCAAATTCCCCATCTACTAGCTGTGTGATGTTAGGCATCTTATTCAATCTCTCTGCTCCTGAATTCCCTCCTCTGTGAAAGCAGGATAGCAGCTTCTTCCTCATTTCTTTTTGTGAAGATTTTCTAAACTGACACATATAAACTGCCAGACCAATACCTGGCATGTAGTTTGACACAGGTGTGGGATAAGCCACCCTCACTTCCCACACTCTGTCCTCTGGCTAGAAAGAGTTCGACCACCCCCACCTTCAGGACGTGTGAAGCACGTGTGAAGTCAGACTATGTTACTGGAAAGCAGCTTGGTCGTGTCATTGTGGCAATTAAGTGTCAAGCAGAGACAATGGCACTTATATCATCAGACAACTGCTGTGAGAGTAAAATAAAATTGTGGCAAAAGCACCAGGCATAAAATGACTGCTTATTAAATGTTTCTATTTTTATTGGGATCTTTTTACTTTCAGCGTCAATTGGTTGTGACTGTTGGATATGTTGATGCTGTATCTATTATTGTGACGCGAAGATGCCTAACAGTAATCACTTAGAAATACATGTTAAAAGGCAAGCTTCACAAAGTTCTCCCCCACTTTCCCCTCTTTCCACCCAAGCTCCAGGAAGATTCCGACCTTTTAGACAATTGTGCGTGCAGCATAGCACTTGAATGACTCATGGGCATCCCCGGATCACCATGTCCTGGACTGAACTCACTACTGGTTCTACCTTGGTTACTAGGAAATCATTCTAGTTCCCCCATCTGATCACTTTATTCACACTAAGCCTGCTGATGTCTTGTCCTCCAAAGCTCCCGACTCCACCCATTTCTCCTTCACCACCATATTTGCCATGGCACCACCATATCTGGTGTATTACATCCATGGGAGCCACAGAGCACTTGTTTTGAACTTAGTTTATACCCTGTTGCTCTTCAGCTTGAAATGCTTCAAAGACTTAAGATAAAGACTACCGTCGTTCAAGTCCCAGAATCCCATTCTGCCCTCAATAACAGAGCTCTTTGTGGCCTCAGCATTTGTGGACACCACCCCTCCCAAGCCTATTTCAATTTCACATTCCTTCATTCCACTCTAGCCCCCAGTGCTGCCTCTCAGCCCACCATCCACACGGTTCTCCTTCCCTCTCTCTGGAATACCTCTTCTCATTGCTCTGCTAACTTCCTTTTCAAGGTTTCAGTGTGTCTCCTGGTCAGGGAAGCCTTCCCTGACCACGCCCAACTCCTGGTCCTTGAAGGTCTGTTCTCTCAGCCCCTTTCGCACAGGCCTGCTGTGAACTTTCATGAAACACATATGAACTTGTCATGAACTTGCATTCCTCTGTGCACTGATAGGTGTCCATCCTCCTCACTGTAAAAGCCAAGAAGGCTGACAATCTGCTCTCCTGTTCTGACTATGCCCAATAGGTCAGATAGCACTTGGTACATATAGTCTGAAGCAGGAGCTCAAGAAATCATTTATCAAGGCTTACAAAAAGAAAAGACCCAGCAGCCCTCCGTGTTTCTAGAGATGTGAAATTAAAAAGAAAAGGCTTATATTGTGTTTCCACTGTAGTAGACTCAGTGGTGGGAGTAGGGGGCGGGGAGGCAATTCCACTTACACCTAAATAGCCTGTTCATTCATAAGCTATTTGGTCAAGGTATGAGTGGGCTGTTTATCCACACTGGAGAAAATAAGAAATGTACTCAGAAAGAATATTAAACACAGCTGCCCAATAAATACATTTCAACCCCAAATACACATAGAGGCATTGCCTCGCTCAGCTCACAGTATTCTTGTCAAAACTGGATGCTCAGTTTCAACTTGTTCGGCTCCCATCCTGATGGTCAGGAGCCTGCACATCTGTGTACTAATTAAAGGTGCAGGGGCCAACGATGGAATACACAAATTCCTCTTAATCATCCCACGTTGTGTCTGCCAAGAAAACCCAACAGTAAGGGCAGGTAGAAGATATTCTCTGGTGCCCACACCTTATGCCCTCTCCCCAGCCCCCCACCTCCCCCCCTCCACATCCCGCAGCCCCACCCTGTAGGCAAGCTATTTCTCTGCGGTCTCCTACTAAGACCTGAACCAAACTAGCTGTCTAGTTGGGTAATAAAATTGAGCCAAGACTCGGGAAGCCCCCGTGGGCTCCATTATCCTCGCGCACGCCCTGTGAGAAGGGCCACCCCTAGGGACCGCTGTTGTAGAGCTGAGTTCCACTCGCTGCCAGGAAACAGTCCCCAGTGAGGACACGGGGCAGGCAGCGCGCGGCTCCGGGTCCAGGAGGAGGCACCCCACCCATCTGCCAGAGACAAAGATCACCAGAAACAAAGGACACACACACACAGGCTCACAAAGTCAAAAGCAAATACCGACACTTGCTGCAGTACGCAGCCAAACCGCCCCACTTGGTATATCTTTAAATAGACTTTAAAGCCATCCAGGAAAGACAGAGATTATGTGACTACAACAGGCACTCTCTGGGTTCCGAACCCAAGCTGCCTCGCCCTGCTCCCATCCTCACAGATCCCTGCGCCAGGACACAGGCTTTCCTGGAGCACCTGTGCTCGGCTCCCAGGCGCGCACTTGCCAAGAAAGGAGGTACCCACCTTTAGGATCCCAGTTCACCTGTTTCCTTGGAGTCTCGATTGGAAATTTCATTGCTCCGTTGCCCGGAAGGGGAGAAATTAGAAAAGAATCCAAATAATAATAAAGTCCTCGAGCTTTGCACGCCTCGGTGTGGCAATCCAACCAGTTTCCAAGGATGGGGAACCTGGACTGGCTCGAGGAGGAACCCCAGAGAGAGAAAAGTGGGGAGATACTAGCGAACGAGAGAAGGCTATGGTGTTTGCACTGGTTGGGAGGTGGCAGTCTTGGGGTCGGGGTGGGAGGTGTCCACTGGTCCACCGGTCAAAGGAAAAGTAAGCACAGCAAAGGGAGGATGGAGAGGAAGGCTCAGGAAGATGTCAGAGCCCAGCCTTTCCCGAATGCGATGCTAGTGACTGGGGGCTGAGCAGCCGGAGGGCCGGCGCCACAGGACAGAGAAGCCCACTGCAGTGTCACCGGCCCCCAAGGCGTGCACACACACTGCACACACACACACTTGCTCACGCCGCCCGGGCGCGCGCTCCGCCGGCACGTCAGCCTCGCTCAGCAGCGCTGAGCGCACATGCCCCACCCCGGCCGCACTCCTCGCCCCCAGCGACGCCCCCCCCCCCCCCCTTCTCCCCCCAGAAAGCCATTGGACGTGGGGGTGGCGCGGCTCCCGGGGAGCACGCAGCGAAGGCGATCCTCCCCGCAGCGTGTTGCAGACACCTCGCCAGCGCCGCGCTAGGCTGGGAGGCGCGCTAGGGCCCAACCGTGCCAGGTGGCGGTGGAGTGGCCCGCGGGGCGGCGCAAGGGCGGGCGCACCGCTACTTACTGGCTGGGCTGCTGGGCGGCTGGAGGGTTGGAGGCGGCCGTGGCACGCTCTGCCGACTTGCAGCCTTGCAGCCGGAGACACGCTTGGCTGCCTGGAAAGCACTGCAGGAGGCGGAGGAGGGCCTCGGAGGCCTCACCACGGACCTGGGCTTGAGGATGACCTCCTCTCACCGCTCCCACCCGGGGCGCTCACCCTCTGGTCTCACTTCATTCCCCCCCCCCCCACTTCAGTGTCCTCCTGCACAGGCTTCTCCCGCCCGTACCCGGCTCTCAGGTCTCCACCACGCTCTGAGGAGGCTGATGCCAGCCATGAGCCTTTTGTTCTGGGACGGCTCCGCATCGGCAGCGCTCTCCCCGCACTAGGAAGCGTGCTCCCCTGGCACAACCTGGTCCCTGCCCCAGCTACCTGCCACCCTGCTGGGGCCTCTGCTTGGAGGCAGAGGAGGAGGCTGCAGAGCCCCAAAGGAAAGGGGAGTTGCCAAGACTGGCGACTCCACAGAGCAGTGGTCCCAGGAGCCTGGGACTTTACAGGGACAGGGCTGAGAGCCCAGGGCATGTTCCCAGGATGAGGGTTCCCTTCATCATCCTCCCCTCCCCTTGCACCCTCCTAAAGTTGCAATAGGACCTTGGACTTGGGTGGGGCTGAGATGCTCCTCAATGGACCATTGGAAGTGCTGGTATGAATGATGGGTACCAATTCCTTCCACTGCCTAGCAATGGTCACTAGCCTAGAGTAAATGCTCAAGAAACCACTTACTAAAATGAAAGCATGAATTGAGCTGTGTTAGAGAAGGCATAGTCTGAATTCTACTCTCGGTTATAGATGAGATGTCTTAAGATTCCGTCCACTCAGCATTGCTCTTGTTATGTGCCATCGATTCAGCTGCAACCTTTAGAAACCCTACAGCTCTGAACCCTGCCCTATCCTGAGCCGATCTCAGTGCCTTTGACACACCTACCTCATTAGTCCAGTTACTGTGTCAGTCCATCTCACTCGGGGTCCTCCTCTCCAGTGCTTACCCTCTACCCTTCCAAGTATGATGTTCTTCTCCAAGGACTGGTCCCTCCTGGCAACATGCCCAAAGTATGTGAGGTGAGATGGAGCTTTAGAATCCTTCCCATCCCTGGGCAAGGTTCTGGTGAGGTGGTGGAGAATACAACACACCAGGGCCTGGTCTTCATGGAGCATCCTGTCTGGTGCTATGATGTTGGCCTTTGCTTATAAAACAAAAAGCGGCTGCCCTACTCATCCCAAGCCTGCTGGCTGTGACCCTCACCCTGAGGCTTCTGGAAGCTCTATGCCAATAGCATCCACTCAGTCTCCTACTCAGTGTCACATCCAGGTGTCCAAGTTCTGAGAGTGAGGTCCTTGGGAGGTTAGGCTGTGGGAAGGTTAGTTAATACTTTGTCACTGGCCACGTGAGCAACCCTGGCTAGACCCCTGAGTTCTCTGGCCACTGTTCAGACAAAACTGGTCTGATGGCACTACTCAGACTTCTCAGTGATTTGGGCAGGTGTAGATCCCCAGGTACTTCCTCTCCACCTTCTGTGAGATTCTGTCCCACACTTTACTTCCCTCCACTAGAAGCGGGTCTGACGGATGGATGAGGTGCATCAGTAAGGCAAACAAGGAATTTCTGCTTCCCTCAGTCATGTCCCAGAAAAAGTAGTATGTGTGTAGAATCTGTTACCCAGCCCAAAGGCAGCTCCTGAGAAAGGCTCCAAGCCCCTCCCTGACTGTTCACAAGCCTAGGAACTGCAATGCTATGTTCTGACCTGCACCACAGTTAGAGGGAATCGTCAGCAGGGGCAATCAGCAGCACCCACAAACACCCACTCCTGAGTCCTCTGAAGATGAGGAGGCAAGATTAACATTTACCTATCCACTGTCACCTCAACCTTCTCTGATCTTCACTCCTTCCATCTCCCCTACCTCACCTGAAAGAAGCTTTCACAGGTCACACTTCACAGATGAGGAAACTGAGGGTCAGAGAGGCAGCAGAAGGTATACAAGGTCACAACAAGATCCAAGTCATGTTTCCTGTCCTCTACCGGGAATGTGCATTCTCACCCAAGATAGACAGAATCAGAACCTTTCCACAAGATCTCCAGACCATTCATACATACCTAGGGATTTACATCGAATCTTAGATTCTGATTCAGGGAATTCTCAGTAAGGAGTTGAACCAGAAGCACCAGTTCAGAGCCATGATCCAAATACAGATTCCTCTGACCCAAACGCTGGAGCTTGCCCAGAACCTTGGGAGCTCACCTCATCCCTGGCCCCATCCATCCAAACCCTAAAGCTGGCACTGATGGATTCTTTCGGAGTATGAAGAACTTAATACTAAGATTCCTGCTTTCCTCCTTTGCCAAATGCAGTGGGCTAGTCTGGTGCCCCAGATGCATCATTCTGCCAATCAGCTTGCATTTGTTAAGTACTCCTGTGTGCATGCCACCACCTTGCCAAGTCCTCATAAGAGACTTCCCAGGAGGTGTGGGCTCCGGGTTCAGAGTTCCTGGTCTAGTCATTGGTCCTTAGGATTATCTCTTTGCTAAATCACTAGAATGCCTTTTAGCCCCACTATACACACACACACACACACACACACACACACACACACACACACACACACTGGAGCTTTCTCTTCCTTCCATTTATATACCCCATATACCCCCCCCTTGATAATTTGGACAAAGACAAGCTTAGGGGGGGGGGGAGTTAAACCCAAGCACCTAATCCTCTAACATGCCTGCAGTCATACCCAACTCCTGAACTGTGTATTTGTGATGGATCCCCTAAGGGGAACACCCCCTCCCGAGAAAAACAACTTAACACATTGACCCTTGGAACTACTGCAACCACCTTCCTCAATCCCACCTCGGGATCTCAGAGGCTGGCTTTACTTACCCTGAATAGGAGGAGAGGAATGATCTAAGCTGAGAAAAAATATCCAGAAGAGATGCCGCGTCAAGCGGGGGGTCGCTGTCCCTCTGCGCCGGTGCCGCAACTTCCATGGCTGGTGCTGCGGACCCGGCTAAGTCAGCTGGAGAGAAAGCTCGCCTCGGGTTCCTGCGGCAGGAAAACAAAGCATCGTGGCGCACGGCCACCCTGCACTCGGCGTGGGTGCTCTGCCAGCCTCCCAGGTATGGCCACGGCTGTATCCCCCCCTCGGGAGCATTCGCTGGGAAAGGGCGCCGTCGGGCCCTGGGGGCGCGTGGGTGCGGGTCTCCGGGTCTCCGCAGCCGGGAAGCCACCCTGGCTGTGGCGCACCAATAGCGGCCGTGCCGCCACTTTAATGCGTGCGCCTGGGCCCTGCGTGGGCGCGCTGGGAAAGCCTGTGAGCCCCAGTCATTGCGGGCGAGGAAGTTTGCCCGGAGTTGCCGGGCTCCTTGGTGCCCGCCCCCGGCTGCAGGCCCAGGTGAGGGTGAGCCCGAGAAGGTGCTGTCCGCTGCGCGCCAGGAGCCTCTGTGTGACTGGCAGCTGAGCGCGCTGCGGGCGGAGAGAGAACGCGCAGGCTGGGACGAGCCTGGAGAATTTCCTGGGACGTCGAATGGCGAGGAGCGAGGAAGCCGCCTGGGGAATCGCTTGGTGCTGGCTCTGCACACGGGGCGGTCCAGCGGACAGAGAGAGGTGGGGGGATCTGAAGAGAACCTACTTGGAACACCTCGATGACGCTATTAATCTGCCTTGGATTGCTTTCCTTTGCTTTCATCGTTTCTCCCTAAAGTCCCCAAGAAACCCCAGTTTTGCAACTTTTCCGCACCCTTTAAGGCATCTCCAGCTGCTCTCAAGAGAGCCTTCCTTTGCGTTTTGTAAGATTCTCCCACCCACCTCTATAAGCCCTTTGGCCCAGTGTTTATGCCCACTGAGAGGTCAAACTGGCAAAGGTCATTCCTTAAAGTGAACTTGAGCTTCAGTTTCCATAAATACGCTCTTCCTCCAGCCCCACCCCCAGCAAAGTTCCCACTTTGTTCTCAGCATTAATCACCCCTGCATTTGTCTTCATGTCCCAACCAGCATCTGCAGAAACACACCCTTAAATACACGTTGCTCTAATCGTGGGCTCTGCCTTTTGGCTTGTAAAAGCTGGAGACACAGCAGCAGGGAAAGAGCAAAGGGTGTCAAATTCCTGCCCTGGAAGCAGAGTCCCTACTCAATAACAAACTCCGTGTGTGTAAATCCCGCAGCTTTATTTTGGTGACTCAATTCTCTGATTAGGGATTAATGAAGACAACATACCATGAACTCCAAAGAAGTTGCAATTAACGTGTCAGGCTGATGAACATGTTTCATAACCAGGAACCAGCATGGTACTAACTTGCATGTGTGTCTCTCTCTTTACTCTTAGTC